CACATCGATTAGTGACGACATTTTCGGGAGATGGTTNTACGTTTTTTAACAGCAACATGGCGTCCAAAATGCTTCCTAGTGGTGTGGGGCGTGCCAATGTCTTTTTATTTACCTCAGATCTTAGACGAAAATCGTTATTTAAACTAAGAGTTGTACCCTTTCCTCTATCCTTCTCATGTTGATTTGTAACTTTTCACATGAATAAACCTGCTAAAAATCATACAGGCATACGTACCCACACACACATACACACACACACACACACACACACACACACACACACACACACACAACTTTCAAATAGATAGACGAAGTGTACAGCATATCGGGCATAGGGTCGATCGTAGGAGGGACCCTGTTACGGGGTTACCTGAAGGAGGGGGACGAACTCGTGGTTGGCCCCAGCCAACATGGCGTCTTCTCTAAGGTGATGGTGATGATGATGGTGGTGGTGGTGATGATGATGATGATGATGATAGTGATGATATGATGATATGATAATAATAAATGGCAATAATAATAATAAAAAAAGAATTAAGACAAATTTTAACAATTGATCACCACATATTTGGGAGGAGATTAATGATGATGATGATGATGATGACGATGATGATAACCATCGTAATGATGATAGTGCTGATGGTTTTCATGGTGATGATAAACGATGGTGACGAAGACGACGACGATGATGACGATGATGATTTAATATTACCAGTGTAAAAAAAAACCCATACAAATTAAAAAAAAAACACGATAGGTAAAGGTTTTGAGCCTTCACAGGAATCGACTTCCATGTACAAGGTAAACGTGTATTATTATTATTACTATTATTATTATTATTATTACTATTATTATTATTATTATTAATATTATTATTATTGTTGTTGTTGTTGTTGTCGTAATAATAATTATTGTTGTTATTATATTATTATTAATGCTATTTTTACCATTAATATTCCTATTGTTATTATTATTGTTGGTGGTTTTATCATTTTTATATTATTATTATTATTATTACGGTTATTATTATTATTGTTATTATCTGTATTTTCATTTTATTATTATTATTGATGTTATTAATTATAGCGTTCAGTCTGGACAGACGGCCTGCATATCTGTCGGGAACTTCGACGAGTTTAATCTGAGGAGAGTGAGTAGTAATAATAATAATAAATAAATAAATAATAATAAATAAATAACAATAATAATGATAATGATAATAATAATAATAAAAATAATAACAACAATAATAATAATAATGAATAATAATTTGAATAATAATAAATAATAATAACAAATAAAATGGTGAATAATGATAATATTAAAATGATAATAATAAAAATTTTAAATAATTATAGATAATAATAATAAATAATAATGATAATGATAATTGCAACAAGAAGAAAAATTTTAAATAGTAATAATAGTAATTGAAGAGTTGAAATAGATTTTAATAATCACGAGATGATGGTGTCGAGTGAAACAATAATTATTATCATAATAAATAAATAATTAATCATAATAATAATGATTTGTGATAATGGGAACATCTTTTATTTTTCACCATAAAAAACATACAATGATAAAAATATATATATATATATATATATATATATATATATATATATATATATATATATACATATAAGTTAATGCG